ATGTCATATAAATTGCTTATCGTTTTAAATGTTCTTGCATTACACAGATGAGGTATATATATATATATATATATATATATATATATATATATATATATATATATATATATATATATACTAAGATCAAGTTATGTGAAATTTGGCGTCTTTAATCGCACCAAGATACCTGCACAACTATATAAATACTGAAAGTCAATATTCAACAACGATATTAAAAGTGATTCTTACGTGCTGCTGGCGAGATTATATGTTGAAGATGTCTAATAAGGAGCAGTGCACTCAAGATATTGTTACTTCCTTGACCTGTCTACCCAATAACATACAAGAGAGAACTTGTCTTGATCTAGATCAAGGCGTTGATATGATCAGCTAACTGGTTTGACCTTGAAGCTAGCAATGCATGAGTCCGAATTGCAACTCAGACGGTCTTGGAGGCAGAAAGAACTATTTTAACGCTTGATTGGTTGACAAGTAAGAAGGGCGGAGAAGACGAATCGACCGGAACACTACTCGATTTACTTCTGATTCAGATTAATGTAAAAAGGGTATGAATAAACGGGTGACTAACACGACCGTAGCGTACAAACAATTAGAAAAGTACAACTGTGTCAAAACTAAGCATTAGGATAGGAAAATGGAGTACGAAAGGTTACGTTTACACTAAAATAACTTAGAAATAAAAATACCGTACATCAAATAAAAGCTTATGGTTTATAGAACAAACTAAAGACAAAAATAAAAGCTAGTATTTTACAAACTTTGAATTAAATGAAATAATGTCCTTAAAAGTAGCTTCCATTGTTCGTCATGGCTTCTTTAGTTCTATATTTAGGTCAGATATTCACTACAACGTTTCAAACAGAAGTAAAGTTTGAACAAAGCTCTATGAGAAGAGCATAAAAGCAGTGTAAATTCAGTAGTGTAGTCATGATGTTCTGTCGCTTATTTGTATCGAACTTGGTGAACAAGTGTTTCGTACACAAGAGTATGATATATGCCGATAAATATCGACGGATAATCTACTACTTTGCATCTCTTATTATTTTAGCAATCATATAAAATGTTGCGGGTGAGATCAGCTTTCTTGTGGCAAAGGTCAGAATAACATGTTTTAACCTGAGTCACATAAAGTAGTAGATTCTGTTGATATTCACAAAAAATCTCTGGACACTTTGTTCTTGTAAAAAAATCTGAATGTATTTATCTACAGAATTACATATACTTTCAGTTTATTACTCGGATGAAAGTAGCATTAAACTTGTTGCCAACCTGGATGAACTCCACCGGTCACAGTTACTAGAACTCCTAGAATCCTCCTAGCGAATTCAATTGGTGACAATATGATTATTATTAGGGTGGAAATTTCGCAGAAACTGTTCAGTTCAGGAACAGTTTAGACCGTAGACTAACTTCTGCAGAAAAACCAAAAAGAATCGAACAACTGCTTCATCCTAGAAAGAAGTTTCTCAGAATTAAGAACTATTAACTGATTTTGTGAAATCTTGAAGCAACAGTGACAAATGATTAGTGAAGTTCATTCGTCGGGAATAATAAGAGCCGTCTTATCCAATACCAAATAATTAGTTACAGCAAATATTTCTGAGCTTAAAATATGTAAAATCACAACAAACTCCTCTTCTGCATACATTTGATCTGTGATTATTCTAAAAAAGGTTTCTTAGCAATCGTCATTTGTCACTCAAGTTTATCTTCTATCATGTTTTGTTTTCAGTGTTGTGTAAATCAACATGAATTTCCGAAACAATTGTTTGTTGTTTCTCCAAAGTATAACACAAGAAGGGAATCATATCAGCCAGTGTGATAGTGTCATTTAGGCTCAGCAGTATTCCACTTCATAATAGGTCGTAAGATTTTGATAAGAATATGTATCTCTAGTGCTTATATCATGCAGGTGTCTGGATGAAACAAATCTAAGACGGGAAAATTTAGTATAACAATTACAGTTGGAGGATAAATGGTTTGAATAAGTCTATAAGTTTCGTTAGGACAAAAATAGTTTTCACAAATCAACTGAAGCTAAATGACCTCAAGACTTAAAATATTCAGCTTAACAGTAACGTGACATCTAAATGTTTTTGTGTACTGAAGAGTTCTCAAGTGATTACATTTTTAGTTTCGAATATGAGCCTATCAATTATTATCGACCCACGAAAAGTTACTTAAAACCTGAATAATGTACATTTCAATACTGGTTAGTACTCTGTATATTAATTTGTCACGTGATGAATAGAATATTGTCGAACATTAAACTATAAACTTTTACATAACTCGGATTTCGTCCGAAAAGAAAACACGAAAAGCACTATATTATTGAGATCTATTGGTAAATAGTTTATATGAAGTTACAACGAACGTTTTGGACTAATTTGGAGGATCTTTTGTGGTTGTTATAGTGACCAACAGCTGCCCTCCGGATCGAATTATTGATACTAACATTCACGTAAACTGAAATCATAACCGGCCAACGGAATAGTCTACTCTTTATTGGTAAGAAACCACACTCATATTCAGAATAACAATGAGGAAATAAATATGGAGAACGATAGCTCAGACTACAATCGATTGCAAGACATGGATTTGGCAGGCCAGAAAATCAAGATCTGACTATCAGGCCTTATTCTCATCCCACAAATCACGAATAACATCTTTTTAGATTAACAAACTCTCAGAGCAATTATCACAAGTGAAAATCACCAGTTACCAAAGATTACAAATCAGAGGCTAATAAGATAAGTGCTTATTTAAGACAATTCAAGAAGAAAACGAACAAATGTAAAGATGATACATCAGGAAAATTCAATTATAACGTGAATCAGTACATAAGTATAGAGTAAATGTGTGATAAATATAGTATGTAATGTAGAATATTAAATTGAGATGTTAGGTATGGACAACAAATTGCTAATGAATAAAGAGACATAGTAGCGAGCAAAATTTCTAAAACAACAACAAGGTACACAATAGCATGTGTATAATAAGCCAGTATGTTAACACTGGAGAGGCCAATCCACTGCTGCAAATCAGCGATTTTAAACAAAGTTTACCAACGGCTAGTCATTCATCAAGAAATGAGCTATAATATCTCGGTAAACTAGTGAAATACTTCTCTGGGATTTTTAAGATACTAATTTGACCATCTAATGAAATACAATAACTTTGAGTGAGATGTAGTCCTATAAAAATTATGAGTTTCGAAATTGAGGAAACCACTTTAATACAAGGTGTAAACACTGCTTTTTTGTCTATTAGAAAATCAATATAGAACAAGACATGCTTCGTCAAAACCATAGTTTACAAAACTTTCCTGAAGAAGTTCAGTATTATCTCTTGAAGGAACCTAGGACCTCAAAGACTCACAGTGAGCACGATATGTTTAGCTGGCTTAGATCTAAATTCAGCTTTATTCTCCTCCTAGCTGATGCCACAGCTTGGAATTTTCTGGTACAACTTCAGGTATGAAATTTGTATAAGTTACTTAAAAAACCGATTTATGCACTTGGTAATAACTAAATATGAGATAGTTTTGTGACTAAGTTTAATCCGAATAGTTAATTGTTTAAAACTTTTTATTTTGACGAATTTTAATGGTCTAGATAAGAAAGCTTATTCATCAAATGGTAAACGCTTCAAGTGACGCTATCTATGATTAAAATAAAATATTTCTAAACAAATTTGATATTAGTTTTAGTTGAATTTATTCAATATGAATAAGTAGATGTGGGTTTTTTTAGAGACAATTTTTGCTTGGCAACCTATGGTTTATTTAGCTTAACTTGTCATAAATGAGAACCGATATAATCAGTAACTGTAAGTGATAATTTTTACAACCATCATTAATTAAGCCATCAATAAGCATTCTTCCTTCAAAAAACAAACTAGCTTACATTTCGATAACAATAAGTCTATTATTTGACTTCACTAGAAATTAACATTTCTAATCCGTTAGAAAAACCCAAATTTCGTAGACAATACAGATGGCTGAAGTTATATTTTCAGATAGTTTGACAAAAATTATTATGAAAGTGTGATACCAACGGTTAAAATAGTTTGAAAAACGTGTTTATTCCAAAAGGAAATACAATTATAGGATAAGTAAAAATGCCAAAACTACAATATATCCAATGTATAGTGTTATAATCGTTAGGGAGAAATGTATACAATATGTTGTATGAGAATATTTGTACACTTGATTTGTGATTTGAGATGGTATAATGGGCATTTATACATATCTAATACAATTTATTAGAAAACCAGCTTATACACTCTACACTACACTGGTAGAAAAATGGGTCGGTGTATGTAACAAAATATGATCAACGAACATACAAAATTAAAAGAGAAAGACTACATATGGTAAACAATGATTTGTAGCTTACTGATAAAGTTTTTGGATCATAATTACAGTAATCCGTGGAACAGTAACAACGCTTTTGTGTTGACGAACTTCCGTACGTCTGAAAGCATGTGTCTGAAAATGATGGTTCGAACTTTCTGAGACATAATCTGGAAACGGTTTTTATTTCATGGTATTGTTGTCCCCATCTAGGTTTTCGAAAGTCGATTCTTTGGACTTCCTCAATTTTGATGCAAGCTTTGCAGCCATCAAGCTTCTGCCACGGTCCACTTGATTCATCACAGGGCCAAAGAGACATTTTACGTTCTCTGTCTACTATCTCACACTCATAGCAGCTTAAATTATTCACTGAAAGACAATCAGAGATATTAAAATATATCAAAAGTAATCCAAGAAGAAAATTAAACCATTTCATTTGCAAGTGCTTCCCTAAAGACACTAACAATGTAAGAATGCGGAAATGTATACATCTTCCTTTATGAGCCAATCAGAGTAGAAAGCAACTCCTACTTGTTTACTTTACGAAACCGTCCAATCAAAATTCCGCACTCGTTTTGATTTCAACGTCAAGGTCAAATTAAGGCCATATTGTATTGCGTGTTAGTGTCATGCCTTAACGCAAGCAATGACTGTCAGCTACGGCAGTCTCATAGCAACCGTCAAGTATGGGTCATTTTTCCGTCTGCTTTTTCGATGGCGTGGAAGTCTTTATAAATTAGTATGGCCCGGTTTACTAGTTTACTGCTTCTTTTACGCCGTTGTAGCGATCGCTTATCACTCTATACCAGATGAACCGGAATATCGGAATGCCAGGCTTCTTTTTGTCCAAATATGCTACATCGCTGGACGTGTATCAAATGCTGTCCCATTATCCTTCGTTTTGGCATTTTATGTGAACTTGGTAGTTAGTCGATGGTTGCAGCAGTTCCTTTGTTTACCAACTCCTGATGCGATATGCGTTCTTCTATCGGCCTATTTAGGTGAAAATCCTAATCTCAATGATCACAAAAAAACAGAAAACAGCGAAGAAAGAGCGTTGATTTTCAGAAGGACGATTAGCCGTTACGTCAATTTAGCTTCTGCTTTATGCTTTTGCTCAATATCTGTTGGTATGAAACAACGATTCCCGACTCTTGATAGTTTGGTCATATGTGGCTTAATGACTGAACAAGAACTAGAAATTTATTCCAACTTGGAAGAGTCAACAAGCAACTTTTTCGTTCCATTGGTATGGGCCATTTCTCTGATTACGAAAGCTCACGAAGAAAATATGATACGCGAAGAAAGACACGTGGATGCATTAGTCAATCAGGTGGTAGAGTTTTGGGAAAAGTTGTATAAACTGTGCATGTACGACTGGGTGAATGTACCTTTAGTTTACAATCAGGTCAGTACTATGTCTTTACATTGCATATAATTCGTACTATATTTCCGGGTATAATCAATTAATTGAAAGTGCTACTTATATAATTATTTATTCTAGTTAGAAAATCAATTCATTTCTGCATAGTTCTTATGCTGACAGCATCTAGGAAATACAACAGAATATCTATCAGAATCTGGCAAGAACTGATGTAGGAGTAAAATAAAAGTTTGATGGAAATAGGGTCAGTTTCTTTTGTGCTTTACCAATGAATTCTAATCTTAAACAATTCCACCAAACTTTCTACACAACAGAAAGCTACTTTGCCATCTGTTGTTGTCGATTGTAAACAATTGGTTGCAATTTTATTGTTTACTATTAAGCTTTATCATTTAGTGGGATGAAAAGTTACTAGCATAAATTGTAATACGAATTGTGACTGTCTGTCATTTTCTGATGAGTCCTGAAGTACATCAAAGAGATGGTGACATGTATAATATTGAGTACTACTCCATTCTTGGTGAAGTCTCGTGCTCGACACACTTAAACTAGGTGTAACTACATCACTCATAAGCGAAACCAAAGAGAATCCTAAAGTACAGTTTATTAGTGTACGCTAAACTATAAACCATGCAGTTTCACCAAACTCAAGGTACTAAGCTTGTGGAGAGTTATATACTTGATACTTAAAAATCAGGTATATGTTGCCAATATTTTGGTGCATGCCCTAAATGTTGTGTAACCTATCCATTTTTACACTCAGTATTTTAATGATGAATACTGGAACAACATTAATATGATGAGTCGATGTTATGTCATTATCGTATTGTAATTTCGTCTTGCACAGCAAGCACTTTGTACCACTGAAGTCCAAGGTAATTCTATAGAATGAGGAGTACGTTGTCGTAATAACGTTTCGTCAGGTATTAATATTAATAAGTTTTAGGGTTTTCTTAGTTTTAGCGTTTTCACGGAAATTTAGGTATATATCGCTATTGTGCGAAAGTTATTCTTAAAGCTCATGAGACCTAGCCTTCATGGTTTTTTAACTCTATGTGGAATCATCGTTATCTTTGAAAAAGTATCCACATTTGATGGCAACACTATGTCCATATTTAACAACCCCTTCGAGATAAGAAAGACAATGATTCTATCGGTTTCTTTTCCTTGATATAGTAGTTTCCGTGCTTTGGGTGCGTTTTACACTCGTCTAAACAGCTTCACTAACGCCGTTAAGTATAGGATAGTCATTACAGTCGCATTTGTTATTTTATAAAAATTCTGTGAATAGTCTTCTCAAAATGGTTACTGTCGTGAGATGTAAATTATGACTCGAAATATAAGCTAGTAACTATTTTGCTCCATTTTGTAGCAAAAAGTCCAAGGCTTGGTTAAAAGTGTGTTGATCATATATACTCCGTTCATTAGACTAAAACAAGTTAACTCTCAGAATAACCTTATTTATTTGGTACATTTTTATTCACATTATTTCTAAAGGATTTGCTCAGGTGGTGTATAACTCTACTGAAATATTTTACCTTCAAGCTGGACGATCATAAATCTATGTTCCATAAGTAAGTGACAACAGTTGTTCGACTAGCTTTTTCCAACTTGCGTCATTTATGGCGTGGGCGAGATATCCGTCTATCAACCAAAGGACGTGTTTACTGCACAGCAGTTCGTTCCGTCCTACTTTATGGCAGTTAAACATGGCCGGCAAGAGTAGAAGATATTCGTAGGTTACTAGTATTTGATCATAGGTGTCTTCGAAATATTGCTCGTATATCCTGGGACTATCGAGTAAGTAACGCAGTTGTTAGAAAACGGGTACTAGGTAAGGATGGCAAATCAATTGATGAAGTAGTGAAACTTCATCAGTTGAGGTGGCTGGGACACGTGTTACGTATGCCCAACGACCGACTGCCTCGACATGCTATGTTCAGTGGTATAGGAGTAGGTTGGAAGAAAGCTAGGGGCGGCCAAACCAAAACATGGCACAAATCCATGAAGTTACTGACAAGTGGACTGAGTCATGTTGGTAAGTGTAGACTACCTGGTTGGAGACCGCGAGATGATAGCAACCGATGGTTGGAGACCCTGAATGACATGGCTCAAAATCGTTTGCAATGGCGCAGGTGCATCCACTCATTGTGTTCTCCCAAATTCTAATCTGAATTCTTCATGTCCCTTTCTTTTTTTCACTTTCCAAATTTATTTCGCTGGATTATACTCCTTGAATAACATCTTCAAACCCTAATTTTTCTGATTACAGCTTATAATTATACTACATCTAGCACTACGGGATTTGAATCGACAATTGTATCTCTGTGCTAATGTGGTGTGGCAACTCGAACTGATGTACGTACGTACGAAGTTTTACGTTGTTACTGACTGATAGTTGTTTGGATTGGTTCTCCTTTCTCAATAACATTATATGAGTTTATCTTATAATTTTATTTCAAGACATATTTCTTTATTCATGTCATATGAAAGCTAAACCATTTTAGCGTTTTCTTATGAGATTTCTCTGTTAGACGAAAAGTGAAAAAGGGCGTATAACCAAGATTTTTCACATGTTTTTCAGATGCAAACGTGATTTAAACTCTTTCACATTATTGTTTAGCATAACAATTAGAAGTTAGATGTGTGAACACTTCCTGTACCAATTACTCTGTCAATCATATCTATTCTAGTGGTGTTTTTCCAAGTGAAACTTATAATTTCAAGAAGTCAGCATCCATCAATCGCTGTGACGCTGAAATATTTTGATGTTGATTAACTATAAAGCTGTACAAATCAATAGTACTTTTGTTTACATCTGTTATATAAAGCTTCAAGGAATATGATGTTTTCGGAGTACTGTTTGATATTCAGTGAACGTGTTTTATCTCATAGTTAGACTATTAGTATGGTAGTAAAATAGACTGTATGGACTTGTCATGTTCTAGCTGAAAGACAAAAACGTTTGTCGCTACACATTAGTGCATTAGTCCAAGTTGTCTCATGTTATAACATAATATTAAGAGATGAAGAGGGAAAAACATCACTATGGTTCATAGTAGAACCATTGGTAGTATTGAACCGGAAGGAAATTACAACGTGAATATGTTTAAATCTAATAATAATATTCGAATGAAGAATATTCTTTTCGATAAATTCTCTAAAGGCAAAGTGTACTTTGCCCTTAACCTGGCCACTTTTCTGATTATTTATTTGGATATATAATTGTAGAACGTGAAGAGAACTTATCGAAAAAAGTATTCTTCGTCCAAATATTAGTCGTTTGATATGAGGAGAAGCTTTAAACGAATAAATCTAATAACTCGTATTACAAAACGGAAAACAGACTTATCTTTATTGGTGGGTTGTCGTTTCACTTGTTTCTCATGGATTTTAGCTGTACATCAAATCCCTATCTAGTGAACATATAGTTCTGTAAGTGGCTCAAACCGACAATTAGACTTCATGGAAGCTAGTTTGTTCTCTCCCACAGTAGGCTGTTTTTGGTAGTGTCCGACCAACGGTCACCGAGTATCTTGCGTAGTAAATTGTTTAGAAGTACCCGTACTTTTCTGATGATGGTCGTAGTAGTTCTCCAAGTTTCAACTCCACATAATGGAACTGTTTTGATGTTCGTATTAAATATTCTGACTTTGATGTTGGCTGAGTTGCTTTGAGTTCCTTATGTTCGTCGATTGTGGGAATTCTACCCTTGTTTTAAAAATCCATGCCTTCATATCTGCATCAGATCCTCTTGTTTATCAATAGTGATACCCAAGTACTTAAAAGCTTCCACCAGTTCCAGAGTTTCTTCATCAAGTGTGATGGGGTTGGTGTTCTCCGTGCTGTGTTTGAGGATCTTGTTCTTTCTCTTCTGCATGTCGAGACCCATTGCTCCAGAGGATTTCGCTACACTGGTTGTCTTGACCTGCATTTGTTGGTGTGTGGCTGAATGCAAGCTGTCCATTGTATTCCGTGCTTCCCCTCCAATGTCGAGGTCTTCATAATCCAGTCAATCACCGGAATAAAGAGAACGGATGATAGTAAGCAACCTTATCTGGCTCCGATCCTCATTTGGAATGGGTCTGTGAACTGACCTCTGTGCACCACTTCGCAGAGTAGTGTATCGTAAGGATCTTGTATAATGGTGAAAATCTTCCCGGGTATACCATAGCAGAGAAAAAGGTTACACAAGGTTCTCCTATCCACGCTACCAAATGCTTTCTCATAGTCGAGGACGTTAATGTATAGTCACGAGCTCCATTCAATTGTTTGTTCGACGATTATCCACAGTGTCGCGATGTAGCCTGTATACGACCGATCCTTACGAAACCCAGCCTTTAAATCTCGAAGTTGGGAGTCTACTGAGTCTTTTATTCGGTCCAACAACACTTGAAAAATTTTCTTGGAACCGATAGTAGTGTGATGCCTCTGTAGTTCTCATACTTGCTCAGATCTCCTTCCTTTGGTATCTTGATGAGGTATTCTTCTTTCCAGTCTGTCGGCACCTTTTCTTTATCCCAGATCTTCCTGTATGGAACGTGGAGCACGTTTACAGTTACTTCTGTTTAACCTCAATGCATCAGCCGATATGTTCTCTAGTCCTTCTGTTTTCTTACTCTTGATTTGTCTGATGGTCATGATGATTTCTTCGATTGTTGGTAGACTGATATCTATAGGAGGGTTTGTATGTACTGCTTCAATGTCTGATGTGTTCAGTGAGGCTGATCTATTCAAGAACTCTTCAAAGTGTTCTACTCACCTGTTCCACTGCTCTCGGATCCCAGTGATTGATTGGCTTGACTTCTTTGTTTTTGTTTGGTCGATCTGGTTTACCATATTTCCCTACCAGTTTTTTCATTGTATCATATAGTTGTTTCATGTTTCCTTCCCATGCAGGTTTTTCCATTGTAGTTGCTAGATCTTCTACGCATTTCTCCTCTTCACTTGCTTGTTTGCTTCTGTGTATTCTGTCTGGCCCTTGACTTTCTCTGACCTTGTTCGGCTGTTTTTAATCCGATGAG